ATAAGGGAACTAGACTGCCTCTGAAGAGCTAAACTATAAACTCAACATAAACAAGGTCAGAACGGAGACATGCGAAGTCAGTGGAAGCAGACATGATTCACAGAGGAGCAACCTGCACCTGGTACATGCTATGTTAGCAGAGGACTGGCCTCAGGAGGGCCCCTGCACCACAGGGTAGGAGGGAAGGACACTTTGCTGGGCATCCCGAGCGCACCCACCCAGGCCTGTCTAGAGGCGGTCACGGGTGGGGGATTTCACGTTAGGTCCTGGGATGCGGTGATCCCTAGCCAGCACCCACGTTCACACCAGGTGCTTTACGTTTCAAACCTACCAGTCACCTCCTGCCTCAGCACCTTTGCGCCTGCTCTTCCACTTGCTAGAATGCTCCCATCACCTACCTTCTCCATTGGCGGAGTCGTCCCTCAGGTCTCAGCAAAAACACCCTGACTTCCTCAGTCTCAGTGGTCCCTCTTACACACTCCAATGGCTGCTGTGTTCTCTCCTAGGACTTGTCACACTACACAGTATGTGTTTATATATCTCATGACTCTCTCCCACTGGACCCTACACTTTATCGCTCCTGAAACAGAGCAAGTGCCCAGTGACCACCTGTTGCATGGTAGTATGGGTGGGTATAGAGGGATTGGTGGATAGATTGGGCTTTCAAATCCTGGTGCCAGTAAATGATGAAAGTTACTGTTCATCAAACACACTTCCAGCTAAACTTCCTCTTGTCGTGCAGGTGTCTTAAAAGGGAGAAAGGGCTACTCATGCCAGAGTCTTTTGGTCCTTCATGCAAATAGATCAATTGGTAGTGTCATCTTATCCACTCCATAGCATAAACTTGGTAATGAGGGCCCCTCACCACACCCCAAGATCCTGTGCTGTACTCTCCATGCACTAACACGGACCAACTTCTGACCTGCCAGGCCAGTGCCCAGCTCTGGTCAATATCAGACAGGGCCGTGATGTCTGCAAGGCTTCGTCGGACAGGTTCCCTCCTCTGCTCCGTGGTTCTCGAACCTGACCAGGCATCAGAACCACCTGAAGGGCTTGTTAAACACAGATTGCTGGGTTTTGCCTGTCCCCACTGAGTTTGGGATTCAGTAGCTCTGGGGCCGGAGAATTTACATTTCTGACCAGTTCCCAGGAATGCTGATGCTTAGCACTGTTTCTCTGTAGGACTCGGCACCTTTCATTTTGGGGAAACACAGTAAAACTCATCCCACTCTTCTCCCACTTAGTAATGCATTTCTAAACTTTTTAAGACGCCTCAAAGACACCATTCAATTCTACATTTTTAATTATTATTGATTTCAGAGAGGAAGGGAGAGGGCGAGATATATAGAAACATCAATGATGAGATAGAATCATTGATTGGCTGCTTCCTGCACACCCCCCACTGGGGATCAAACCTGAAACCCAGGCATGTGCCCTTAACTGGAATCAAACCTGGGACCCTTCGGTCCACAGGCTGACGCTCTCATCCACTGAGCCAACCTGGCCAGGGCCATTTTTCTTTTTTTATTGCAAAATATACCAAACATGCAACAGAATTTATGCAGTGTATCTATATGACTTACTTTTAAAATATAAAAGTATGCATTACTTACCACCTAGACTAAGAAAAAGAATTTAACAATATGTGTGAGGCCCCATGTGCCTGGCCCCAGCTTCCCAGAAAGCTATTGGCCAAATTTGTGTTAAACATTCCTTTGCCGTTCTTAATCATTTTATCACATATGTATATAACCCTAAGAAATACGAGAACTGCCGAAACCGGTTTGGCTCAGTGGATAGAGCGTCGGCCTGCGGACTGAAAGGTCCCGGGTTCAATTCCGGTCAAGGGCATGTACCTGGGTTGTGGGCACATCCCCAGTGGGAGATGTGCAGGAGGCAGCTGGTCCATGTTTCTCTCTCATCGATGTTTCTAACTCTCTATCGCTCTCCCGTCCCTCTCTGTACAGATCGAGACAATATAATTAAACAATACAAGAAATACGAGAACTGAAGTCCTTGTGCATATTTCCCCTACCTAAGGTTTCTTTTTTATATATATATATATATAATATTTTTTATTGATTTTTTACAGAGAGGAAGGGAGAGGGATAGAGAGTTGGAAACATCGATGAGAGAGAAACATCGATCAGCTGCCTCCTGCACACTCTCTACTGGGTACGTGCCCTTGACCGGAATCGAACCTGGGACCCTTGAGTCCGCAGGCTGACACTCTATCCACTGAGCCAAACCAGGTTTCTTAAGAGGGGAAACTTATTAGGAGATTTCTGAGCACATTTCCAATTCTGCCATGAAGACTGGCATAGTTAGTGTAAAAGACTTATCATTCATCACCTCTCTCTCCTTCCAAGAGATTCTGCCTGCTCTCCTGCCCACAGCCTCAGGAACCATGTTCTATCAGAAGAAGTTGCCTCTGACCACATCTGAACAGCCTAACCCAAGCCATGCCTCAAGTATTTGCTTCAAGTATTTGATTGAAGAGATGGAGTGGATTATTGAATGGGATGGATAGGGTCACAGTCACGTGCCAGCCAAATGAAAGGGAACAGAGAAACCATGTGTTAGTAGAAAGAAGTCAAAGGGGCGACGCTTAGACGAGGAAGACAAGAGCCCTGTGGCTCCAGAGCACGAGCGAGAAAGCAGCTGCCTGCTGAAGAGCCTGGGTCCTTGCAGATAGGGTTAGACCGCTATTCCTCCTGCACTTCACTTCTGCAAGGTTCTCAGTAGGAGTTCAGCAGTTCTTCCTGCCTGAGCTGATGTGAATGCATCTGTGGTCCTGGCAATCAGTCTCTTAATAAGACAATGTGCTTACACAGCATTTGTGAACGCAATCATTTTGTTTCCAAAAACTGTCACAGTGGACTATTTAGACACAGACAACAGTGAGGTGATGGCCAGAGGACAGGGGCAGGGGCTGGGTGGAGGTGGGTGAAGTGGGGGAAATGGGGACAACTATAATAATGTCAACAATAAAAATAAAGTAAAAATCCTATATAATAAAGAGCTAATATGCAAATGATTGTCACGCCATCACGCTGTAGCGGCATAGACACTCAACACCTGGGAGAGAGGAATGGGGACCAGCCAGGCACAAATGAGCTCGAGAGAGAGGAATGGGGACCAGCCAGTCTGCAGCCCGGGAGAGGGAAAAGCCACCCGACCTGCGGTCCTGGGTACCAGTGACTGCGCCTGTGCCTGAGGCCCGGGAGAGGGACAAGGTGCCAACCCCGTGGTCCCAGGTGCCAGCACCTGCAGCTGCGGCCCAGGCGAAGCAGCCCGCCCATGGCCCCCTGCGGCTGTGAAGCCAGCCCGGGTCCTGGGTGCCTGCAGCCGGCCAGAGGGAGGGAAGCCCAGGTCCCAGGTGTGAGGCGAGGCAGAGATGGCTGGGGCAATCAGGCCAGCAGGGGAGCAGTTAGGGGCGATCAGGCAAGCAGGCAGAGGTGGTTAGGGGTGATCAGGCAGGCAGAGGGGTTAGGAGCGAACAGGCAGGCAGGCGGGTGAGCGGTTAGGAGCTAGCGGTCCCGGATTGCAAGAGGCAGTCGGACATCCCCCAAGGGGTCCCAGATTGGAGAGGGTGCAGGCTGGGCTAAGGTACAATGCCCCCCTCCATGTACAAATTTTATGCACCGGGCTTCTAGTATATAAGTAAATAAGTAAAATAAAAGTGGACTATGCAACTTCAACATATAATTTAAATGTACACATGAGATAACAGTATATAACTCTCTGCAATGCAAGTAATGATTATAATAAATTAATAATGGCTACTTACTATAATGATTTATTATGACAATAGGAATATTCAACAAACATTTTGCTGAGCATTTACTATATGCCAATCACTGGAGATCAGAGATGAATGTATCATAGTCATTGCCTTTTAAAAAATATATATATTTTTGCCGAAACCGGTTTGGCTCAGTGGATAGAGCGTCGGCCTGCGGACCGAAAGGTCCCAGGTTCGATTCCGGTCAAGTGCATGTACCTTGGTTGCGGGCACATCCCCAGTGGGAGATGTGCAGAAGGCAGCTATGTGGGAGTGCACTGACCACCAGAGGGCAGTTCCTGAACTGAGCATCTGCCCCCTGGTGGTCAGTGTGTGTCATAGTGACCAGTCATTCCCAGTCTTTCTGCTGTTAGGGTCAGTTTGCATATTACCCTTTTACTATATAGGATAGAGGCCTGGTGCACGGGTGGGGGCCGGCTGGTTTTCCCTGAAGGGTGTCCCAGGTCAGGGTGGGGGTCCCGCTTGCGTGCCTGGCCAGCCTGGGTGAGGGGCTGATGGCTGTTTGCAGCTGGTCACACCCCCTTCAGGGTGGGGGTCCCCACTAAAGTGCCTGGCCAGTCTGGGTGAGGGGCTGAGGGCCGTTTTCAGGCTGGCCGTGGCCAGCAACTGAAGCTCCCAGCCTCTCCTTTTTTTCTTTTTTATTCTGGGATTTATTTACCTTCTATAATTGAAACTTTGTTGCCGTCACTGGAGCTGAGAGCAGGGCTCCTGCTCGCTCCCAGCTCTGAGGCCATGGGCTGCTGAAAGCAGGTATCTGGGGTTTGTTTAGCTTCTATAATTGAAACTTTGTTGCTTTCGGAGCTCAGAGTTGGGCCGCGGCAGGCGGGGAACCTTGGCTTCCTCCATCACTGGAGCAAGCAAGCCTCCTGCTCGCTTCAGCTGCGTGGCTGCCGGCCTCCATCTTAGTTGGCAGTTAATTTACATATCGCCCTGATTAGCCAATGGGAAGCGTAGTGAAGGTATGGTCAATTACCCTTTTTGTCTTTTATTAGATAGGATTACATTTTGAAAAACCCAACTCCTAGTTTAGGTCAAAAGATATGGCTTATTCCAACATATCTCTAGGGTTCCTGAGAATAATTCTATCTTGTGTACAGTTCCTCAAACCATTTGCCCAAATAAGTGTCTTGTGATTACTTAGATGTTTTGGAAAATCTCCCGCTTTAAATGTGATCAGTTTTCAAACATTACTAACCTGTTCGCAAGCAGGCTACATTTGCAAGCCACCACTCTGGGATCCTGGGCAGAATGACAATGACTCGATCTCCCCTTTGCAGGGCACAGGCTTCTGTAAGTATATTGGCAAATTTCTTGGACAAAGATCCCAGTTCCTCAAAACTCCATCTCACTTCTTCTCCAATTCCATTTATCCACCAGAAGGCTGAATTGGAGGGTCTCTTTCCAGCCTGAGGAAAGATAATCCAGCCATAGACTTAAAGTTGCTTACCCAGCTAAATCCTATTTTAACAGATGAATAGAATGTTTTCCCGAAGAAGTCACAGGCCACTCATTAGGACACACATGGAGTATTTGGGAAGAACTCTGGATTCTTATTTCTAGACTATAGGCCTGGTGCATTACTTATGCATTTGGGGGGTGGGGGCAGGCCCCTCAGCCCAGCCTGTGCCCTCTTGCAGTCTGGGAGCCCTTGGGGGATGTCTGACTGATGGCTTAGGCCCAAGGTCCCCCACCGTAAAGATTATCTGGCTCAACATGATAATGGTTCTGTGGTTGAGAAAGCCTGGGTCACAAAAATGTATGATTATAGGTTAGTTTTTTAAAAATACAAAAAGGAGTAGAGTGAAAAGTGACTCCAAGGACATAGATACAGCATTGGGAGAAATATAAAGGGATTCTAATCCTCAGGCTAAATTAGAAGTGACCTGTGCTGGGAGAATGACATGGCTGGGGGACTGGTCAGTGCATTCTGGATATTCAGCAATACCCCTACCCACTAGCCACACCCTCCCCCAAGTCATGGCAATCAAATGGTCTCCAGACATTGCCACATGTTCCCTTGGGGCACAATCACTCCCAGACGGGCAGTGTAGACTGGCCCTGCGATGTACCTTTTCCATGTTGGTCCACTGGTCCAAGACGTCTTTAGCAAAGTTGAAATACTCTGGAATCTCCAGTTTGAAGTCCTTTTTCATGGACTCATAGTTGGAGAAATTCTGAGGAGTCACTGTTCTATAATCTTTATGCAACACTCTAACGGGACCAGGAACTGTTGCGCGCTGACAACACTTGGAACGAAGCAATATCTCCATTGTGACAAGAGACAGCATCACTTTGGTTGGACCTTTTAGCACCCAAGCTTTCCTGTGGGGACCAATCCACATAAAAGACAAGCAAAAGGACATGTGTTTGTTTATGTCCTTAAGGTAGCCATACCCCAAAGTAGCAAAGTTTCATTATTTATTATTCATCATCCTCATCCCATTTTCTGAGCACTCACTAAGTTCCAAACACCATGCCCAGTGTTTTATTTACACACAATTTATCATTCATTCAAAGTAAACCTGTGAGGTAGATACTATTATCATCTCTATTTACAGATGGAGAGAATGACTAGTTAGAGGCTGATTAGTCAGCTCTGGAGGCCATAATAAAATACCGGACATTTATTTCTCACCGTTCTGGTGGCTGGAACATCAGAGATCATGTGCCAACCCATTTGGTTCCATCTCTGGCTTGCTGATGGCTGCCTTCTCTGTGTCCTCACATGGTAGAGAGAGAAAGAGCTCTGGTCTCTTCCTCTTCTTATAAAGACACTAATCCCATCATGGGATCTCACCCTCTGACCTCATCTAACCCTAATCACAGCCAAAGAGCCCACCTCCAAATACTCTCACATTGGGAGGACACAACATTCGGTTTGTAAAGAGGCACTGGTTGGATTTGAACCAGGAACCGTCTGGTTCCAGCCCCTTCTCCTGACTATTATGTGTGTATTTCTAAAGAAGGAAAGATCTGGGTCACTCAGTTACTCTCAGTGAAAGCAAAGGGCTAAGCCTTCTCACTAACTCTTCCACCTGCATATTTCAAAGTAGTGCAGAAATGTCACAGAGAACTCTCACAGCGGGGAATCTGCAGAAGAAACCAAGTGGATCAGTACAATGAGGCACAAAAGCACCGTCAGAATCCTCGAGTTTAGAGGCTGTGGTTCCCATGCTCCCATTAGTCCACGTTGCCTTCAGTCCGGGCTTGGAGCTCTAAGTACCAGACATGGTAATAACAGGGCTTCAACCACGGGACTTTGTGGGGGAGGGTCCTCCAGGGCACCCAGCCTCCCTGCTTCTGTGGGAATAATTTGATCATGATGTCACTTACTAGGCTGAGATCTCATAAATGAGGCTGCTAAAAAGACCAGGTCTAGGCACATTAGGGTTCACTTCTTATATTTTCCACAATCTTCCAAATTCCTTACAATGAAAACTACTTTCACCATCATTAAATCATTTTTGTGTGTGTTTTGTTTTGTTTTAATCCTCACCCCAGGATATTTTTCCATTGACTTCTTAGAGAGAGTGGGAGAGAGAGGGAAAGACAGAGAGAAATATCAACTTGAGAGAAACACATTGATTGGTTGCCTCCTGCACACGCCTCAGCCAGGGCCCAAGCTGGGGAGAAGCCTGCAACCGAGGTACATGCCCTTGACAAGAATCGAACCCAGAACCCTTTGGTCCACAGGCCGATGTTCTATCCACTGAGCCAAACCAGCTAGGGCCATTAAATCACTTTTAACTGAAATTCTGTGTAATGTGTAAGGCAGTTGGCTATGGAAGCACTTCTGTATTGACAAATTGGGAAACAATAATTATTAGCGGGTGCCAGCCATAGATTTTGCTCTAAGTGGACCTGGCGCTCGGGCGTGGTGTGGCTGCACCCAGTGCATTGGGAGACCTGGGGTTCTCCTGACCTCCCACCCTGTGTGAGGACCTGATGAGTCAGTGAGCTGGCGCCCTCTGAGAGCGTCTGGTTTGAGTCTCCTCCTTTTCCACCTTCAAAGAGAACAGCCCGAGAGAGTAGAAGCAACTGGCTTCAACACTCACAGCAGAGAGAGAACTAGAAGTCGTCAGATCGCCATTGCCGTCCAATAAGATTTTAATTGAGCCGTGGTTTTCAACCATGCTTATGTATTCATAAGCAATCACTAGAAAAGCTTTTTTATTTTTTATTTTTTTAAAAAAATATATTTATTGATTTTTTACAGAGAGGAAGGAAGAGAGATAGAGAGTTAGAAACATCGATGAGAGTGAAACATCGACCAGCTGCCTCCTGCACATCTCCTACTGGGGATGTGCCCGCAACCCAGGTACATGCCCTTGACCGGAATCGAACCCGGGACCCTTCAGTCCGTAGGCCGACGCTCTATCCACTGAGCCAAACCGGTTTTGGCTAGAAAAGCTTTTTTAAAAAAAAAAAATGTTGGGGTCTTAGACCAATGAAATCTGAATCTTTGGTTCAGGGGAGCTGGGCATCATTTTTAAAAAATATATTTTTATTGATTTCAGAGAGGAAGAGAGAGGAAGAGAGAGGGAGAGATAGTAACATTGATGAGAGAGAATCATCAATCCGCTGCCTCCTGAACGCCCCACTGGGGATTGAGCCTGGAACCTGGGCATGTGCCCTGACCGGAAATCAAACCCTGACCTCCTGGCTCAACCACACTGGCCGGGCTGGGCCACAGTCTCCATTGCAATTGCTTAACTCTGGTGGGGATAGCCATTGACTCTAGATAAACAAATGGGCCTGGCTGTTTTCCCAAAAACTGATTTATGGATACTGAAACTTGAATTCCATGTGTCATTAATATTTTCTTCTTTTCTCAAAATTTTTAAAATGTGAAAACCATTTTTGGATCCCAGCCTGAGCAGAGCTAGACGGCTGGGCTGGCCCGCACCTGCTGACCTTTGCACTACAAAGCAGCTCTGTGAGGGTTGGGGCCCTGCCTTTCCTGTTCTGATACCCTCCCTGGGAATGATAATAGCATTTGGTCCATAGGAGGGGCTTAATATCTTTTGAGTGAACAAATTACTTTAATTCAGAAGGAAGAACTTTTTGATGCATTTATTTCAATAATTTAGGACTAAATAGAGTTGAGACGTGCCTCCACCACTTTAAACCAGATATATCTGACTATGTGAACCACTCATGTGTGTTACTTAGATTTAAATTAATTTAAATACTATTTAAAAATTAGTTTGTTAGTCACACTAGCTCATTTCACGTGCTTAACACGCGGCTAGCAGCTATGGAGTGAGGCAAGGTGTGCAGCGAGGGGGCCCATGCATCCCATCACGCAGAGCACCCTGTGGGCGGTGCTGCTCTCCACTGATCCTGGCTCAGAACCCGACTTTCAAACATCACGCCCCAGGGGCATTGAGGGAGGGTTCCCAAGATCAGATTTTTCTAAGGGCTCAGGTTTGGTGGAGTGCCCAACCCTGTTCTCTTGCCTAAGGGCTGTGGGAGGGGGAGTGTCCCCCCCCCCCAACCCGGGAGTCTCCTCACGCTCTAGAACAGCGGTTCTCAACCTGTGGGTCGTGACCCCTTTGGGCAGTGGTTCTTAACCTTCCTAATGTTGTAGTGACCCACAACCATAAAATTATTTTCGTTGCTACTTCATAACTGTAATTTTGCTACTGTTATGAATCGTCATGTAAATATCTGATATGCGAAAAAATAGAAAATGAAGAAGGAACACAGGGGTAAAGAATAAAAATGGCGACAAACAAGTATTTATCAATAATAACTTTAAATGTAAATGGATTAAATGCCCCAATCAAAAGACATAGGGTAACTGAGTGGATAAGAAAACATGACCCATATATCTGCTGTCTACAGGAGACCCACCTCAAAAAAAAAGACGCACACAGACTGATGGTGAAGGGATGGAAAAAGGTTCTTCAGGCGAATGGAAATGAAAAAAAAAGCCGGGGTAGCAATACTTATATCGGACAAATTAGATTTCAAAGTGAAGGACATAAAAAGAGATAAGGAAGGCCACTTCATAATACTAAAGGGAGCAATCCAACAAGAAGAAATAACTCTGGTAAACATATACGCACCCAATATAGGAGCACCTAAATACATAAGAAAACTTCTGGAGGGGATCAAGGGAGAAATTGACAGCAATACAATCATAGTAGGGGACTTTAACACTACACTATCACCATTGGACAAATCCTCTAAACGAAAAATCAGCAAAGAAACATCAATCCTAAATGACTCACTAGATCAGATGGAATTAATTGACATCTTCAAAACATTTCATCCCAAAGCCACAGAATATACATTCTTCTCAAGTGCACATGGGTCATTTTCAAAAATAGACCAAATATTGGGTCACAGGCAAAGTCTCTTCAAATTCAAGAAGATAGAAATCATATCAAGCATCTTCTTAGATCACAATGGCATAAAACTAGAAATCAACTACAATAAAAACAATCCCCAAAAAATCAAACACATGGAGACTAAATAGCATGCTATTAAACAATGACTGGGTTACCAGAGAGATAAAAGAAGAAATAAAAAACATCATGGCAACAAACAACAATGAAAACACAACAATCCAAAACCTATGGGATACAGCGAAAGCAGTCTTGAGAGGGAAGTTCATAGCTCTACAAGCCTACTGCAAAAAACAAGAAACAATGATAATAAATTACCAAACCCTACAACTCAAAGAGTTAGGAAGAGACCAACAAGAAAAGCCCAGTGTAAGCAGAAGGAAAGAAATAATAAAGATCAGAGTGGAGATAAACGACATAGAGACCAAAAAAAACAATACAAAAGATCAACAAAACCAAGAGCTGGTTCTTTGAAAGGATAAACAAGATTGATGAACCTCTGGCCAGGCTCACCAAGAAACAAAGAGAGAGGACCCAAATAAACAAAATCAGAATGAGCCCTAGCTGGTTTGGCTCAGTGGATAGAGCGTGAGCCTGTGGACTAAAGGGTCCCAGGTTCGATTCCAGTCAAGGGCACATACCCGGGCTGCAGGCTCGGGCCCCAATAGAGGGCATGCAGGAGGCAGCCAATCAATGATTCACTCTCATCACTGATGTTTCTATCTCTGGCCCCTTCCTCTCTGAAATAAAAGATAATTTAAAAAAAAATCAGAAATGAAAGAGGAGAAATAACAACAGACCCCACAGAAATACAAAGGATTGTTAAAAAATACTGTGAACTACTCTACTCCAACAAACTAGACAACCTGGAGGAAATGGACATATTCCTAGAAAAATACAACCTTCCAAAACGCAATCAGGAAGAATCTAAAAATCTCAATAGGCCAATAATTATGGAAGAAATTGAAG